ATCATGAGCATGGGCATTTTTATTAACGAGGGATTTTTGTAACGTTTCAATATTTTTTGACATGATAAGCATGGTCAAAGTTTATAAAACAAGTTTTTTCAGAACGTCAATGAGTATGGTGTTTCCAATTGTATCTCTTTCTAGACCAGTGGTGGCAAACCTTTTTTTCTGAATGAGTGGAATGATATATTTTTAATATAAAAAAGAAGAGTGTAGCCATAGAAATTTGAGCAAGTCTGCCTTACTGTTGCATCGGCAAGTTTTACAATCCTTGTATTGCGTAGTTTTTAGTAGATGCAGCACTTATGTCTGAATTATGGCGATTTCAGGTACTCTATTTCCTGAAATGCTAATGCGTGTGGTTTCATGGTTTCAATAAGTTTGTGAGAGAGTTTCGCTCAGAGAAAATTATATTTTCATCGACTTTGAACCTGGCTCATGTCACTATCATCCATCTATCGGCATTTTTATTTCAAGTTTTGTAGGCGTTGATTCTAGTCCGTTAATAAACCCTCCTGGAAGTAAAATATATATATATATTTTCCAAATTGGGAAGATACGCAATTCTAACTTTGATAATTCGGAAATTTTGAAATCAGCTGTGTGTGAGGAAAGAATGAAAAATAGCATTGAGTTGTCGGAACTAAACAAACCTTATGAGCAGAGCCATTATATAACGGCTCTGTTATGAGGAACAAAAAATTTGGCGTTATTTATCAGAAAAGAAAAAAAAAACTTTTTGGATGCATTTTCCAGTTCTCTCAGTTAAAGTATAAGTGCTTCAGCAGTTGTGAAAAATATTTCAATCTATCTTTTAGATCTGCAGAAAACAGCAAGTTTTGCTTTTTCCAATGATTTGTTTTTACAATCTTATAATTTATTGATTAAAGTTTTCTAATGAAAAATCCACAAATCCTTCAACCACTTAGCATTGCTGAACTATGGATATGATCCCATTGATTTTCATTCAAGAGAAATTTGTGTCCAATCAGTCATGCGTTTCGCTATTTGCATCCACCTTTCGGTGAGTTACATTCCTGCAAACGCACAGAGCCGTGCAGAGCGACGCAATCTATGAGATGGAATTAGTTTTGGGGAATAAAAACAAAATTTTGCCATCTCAGTCTTTTTTCTTTTTTCTACTTTAAGCCTTTTCAAGAGAACAGACAATCCACTCGCTGACGTTTTTAGCCTTAGTCCACTATGAAACTTTCATAACGAGTGAATGTGCCTTCTTAATCTTGACATGGACCGCATGGACCAGACAGTAATCACACGGCATGAATTCGGCAACATTGTTTATTAAATATGCAGGAAAAGCAGATATAGACGGCGCTGGAAGGAGATTTTTACAACTAAATTGGGTCCACAAATTTTGAGAGACGAACCGAAATAAACAGAAAATATCGATCGCGGAACATGATAAAATGGTCGAAATCTGGTTAGACAGCTCTGGAATAAGAAACAAGCGACAATGAAAGCTCAGACGATGAAGATGTTTTAAAAAAGCGAATACAGTTACAGAAACACTATTAGACAACTTAGAGCAGGGCGGTCCAAATCCAGGCCACATGTGGCCCGCGGCTTCATTATCTGTGGCCCGCGTCGCATTCGGAGAGTAATCAAAAAATCTCATTTAGTGTTGTTTCGTCATCAAATTACCTAGAATAATCTTTAGACATATTGTTACATCACTAAGGTCACTGAATCGATTAATGTTATGGCTAGCTGAGGCAACTAGCGATGTTGATGTTCTTGGCAGTCTTGATGTTATCTGGCTTTCTATCTTTTTGGTCGAGAATATATGCTAACAATTTTGGTATCGTAGAAAACTTGAAATTGACTGCGGATTCTATTAGCCTTGGTTGATTACGCCTTGGCTTACCATACGTCCTGTTTTATGCGGGACAGTCCCACTTTTAACGTCTTGTCCTGGCGTCCCGACCGGTCAGACAGAAGTCCCGCTTTGGCGTTTAGACAGTCAGCATAATACAGGAATATTAGCAATGTTCTCGATACTGTTGTTACTGTTTGTTACAACTTGTTATGTGTATGCCCCGTGCGACAAAAGGGTGCTTAGCATTAAAGTAAATTCCTTTCTATTTTTCGAACTGAAACCGATATTTAGACAGGCAGCGCATGAACTCTCGATGACAATATTATGGTCAATGAAGACCGCTGGGATGGTTAAATATAGGCTCCTATAATGTAAAATCGGTAAATTTAAAAAAATCACAGCTATGGTCTTCAGAGGCGTCCTGATTTAAGGTCACAAAAATATGGTAACCCTAGCCTCTGCCTGATAACTAAATATATATTAATGTTATGGTCTAACAATATAATTTATGTTGGGTGTTTTTTGCAACCAGCATAAACAGAATTACAAAAATGCTGCTTATATTAGTAATTACTCTCGATGTTCGGAAGCACTTTTTCCGTTTGAAAGCTAACACTAAAAGTAGATATAGAAAGACTTTTGCAGGTTTTAGTAAGTTTTTGATGGTTTTTGCTTGTTTCAGTTCGATAAATGACAAATCTTGATCAATGTGTTTCCACCATAAAAGTGTTTGTTTTGTATTGAATTGTTTGCCTATTTCTTGCACTATTGGGGCACCCGAACAATGCAAAAATAATTTTGTGGTCCGCGGAGCCAACAAGCTTGGACCACCCTGACTTAGAGCATTGATTCTCGAACGCGGAAGAAACTATTCTTCCAGCAGCTTTCATCGTTCTTCATAAATTAATCATTTTCAGAGAAAAATTCTGTTTACTAAATTGTTAGATTATAATATATTTATAGTCAGCATGTGTCTCACAATAAATTCTGCTATGTGTAAAGAATATTATCTACTCCTCTAACGTAGATTATAGAATTAATTTATCGTCAAAACCGCCGTTTTGTCGCTATAATTCAGTGAAGAGTCGCTGGCCGGATTAAGCCTGATTATGGAGGAAATGTTTACATTATTTCAGTCGATTTGGCCGCATGAAAAAGTGCATTCATTCGACTACGGAATAAGCTAGTGATTTATATCAAAAGCGAAAACGGCCCAAAATTTGGGGCGGAGGCAAAATTATTTTTCTGTATAATGACGTAATACGAGGCTTAAATATTAGGAGTGTCAAGTGGGTATTGATAAAAGATTTGGTAGTAACTGCGCTACTGATCGAAAAAGAATAGAGACCGCTAATATATTAAATGATTGCAGTAATTTGACATATCTGGGTCTAGGGCAGTGTTTCCCAACCCGAGTCCGCGGTCTCAAATGAGTCCGCGAAGTGTTTGAATGAGTCCGCAACGAGCCAGAAATTCACTGCGAGCCGCGAACGTTTTTGCAAAAGTTAACTATCAGCCAAGTTACGATTTACGTTAAAATTCACATAAAACATAAAAAGCAAGTTTATTCACATAACATTAATCAAGTCAATTATTACTAGTTACTGAGTATGGCTGGGCATATATTCGAATATTCAACTATTAGAAATAGCAATTCACTATTCGAAAATGTGGTAACAGGTGACGCGACAGGTCAAAACGATTGGATTACACAACTCACTTGCGAACTTTCGACGAAAACCCGAGCACACGCGTGGTGTTTCTCGCGAGTTCGAACAACGAGAAATATTTTTTTTTAGTAGGCGTCAATGGTGGCAACCCAAATTTTCTAAATTAAAAAGCGGCAATACAAAAAACTGAAAATAAAACGGAGAACACCACAACTTTTGTTTTATGATTGTACGCGACGGATTAAAAAGGCTTCTTTAGACATTGCAAATCGCAAAATTTCGGGGGATACTGTAGTATATGTACCAGGGCATTTTCCCTTAGACCTCCACATTGGTACGTACAGTACTGGAGCGCCGTAAGTATTGTACGAACAGCTCAGATTTGTTGAATTCACAAAAATACGAATCAAAACAAAATATAATCGGGCAGATTACCACGCTTTTTTGTGTCCACGGATTGTCATGATATTTTTTTTTGATTAGTATTGCTTTTATTTCGTCAACACAACCGCAGATTAAAATGATCACCATTAAATTAATAATAAAGCAAGGCGGTATTTTTGATTTACAAATATACTTTAAATATATTTTTAACAAGTACTAAATCAAGTTGTACTTTCTGGAAATTTATAGCAGATAGTAGAAGTTTTCTAACGATGATAACAAATTTGCAAGATCTCTAAGAATATGTATCAAAACTAAATACGAGAATATCGGTCGGAGACCGAAGACTTATCGATCGAAACTGCGGTTTCGATTCATGACTCTATAGTGACACCGCGTGTCCCATCACTAATTAATTAATAACTCGCTAATTATACGACATAATTCATTCCAAAATCAATAGGCTTTTGGTCCGAAATATGATGAATGCAAATGCAATTTGGAGCAGATTCAACCTCGCCTTCGTGAGATATCGCGTTCATCTAACAGACAGACAATTACCTATCAACATGCTTACCGATTTTGGGATCGATAAGTAATAATCGGGCAATATGTTAGCAGATTGCTGTGGCATTAGAAGTAATGATATCATTTTGTCGTAAGTCGACTCAACCGCGAGTTACCATGAACACAATTAAAATAGAGAGACATTTTAAATTCTCGTCGTTGTCATGGATTTATAGTGCGACAGAAAAGGCCATTATATACACTAAAAAAATCGACTCTGACTACGGACGCGTGATTGCGGCGAAATTCCGATTTTGAAATTCGTTCAAATTCCGTTGTGTTTGGTTTTATTGCTTCTTCACACAGAGTACGGTTGCAATAAACGCACCTTGAGTCCGCAAAGGTTTCCGCCGTTGAGAAATTAGTCCGCGACCAAAAAAGGCTGGGAAACGCTGGTCTAGGGGAACCAGAAATTCATCCATTGGGAAATTGTTGACTGCTGCGAAATATAAAACAAAGATGGGGAATAGTAATATGAATGATTTCAAGTCATGGGACTTTGCCTACTTAACTAGATCAACTCTTGAAGTTCAGGCAACTAATGTGTATACGATAATTGTGTATTTTTCCAGAACATAATAAACAAATACAAGTAAACAAATATACTATACAGGAGCTAAAATCAGTCCAATGCACCCAAATACATAAAGATACACCAAGCCATGTTACCAAAAAAAATATTTGAGAATGCATTTTATACAAGTCAAACACCTACTTTTATGATGTCTGAAAAATCTACTTGCTTTGGTCAAATATGAAGGAGCGTAAGAAGTATTTACCATTACAGTAAAAAATTATATTTTTTTGCAATTTGCTCCACACAGTATGGTTTACCATATACCCATGATGCATTTTCAATAAAATTAAATAGATTTTATAATATTAATAATAGCCACACCATTCAAGACTACTTAAAAAATACATGTGAGAACAATGAATACCAGGGAAAACAGGCGATAAGGCCTCTGATAGTGCTAGTGGCTAGTGAGTAAACCAGGCGAAACTGACATCACTATTTATAAAACTTGACCACAAGTCCATGCACAGTAGATAGGCGCCGTTAACTGAAAAGATACCAGCATTCCAGGCCTACTATACAAACTGTTTGAAAGAAACAGCGCTCAAGTGAAAGTGAGAAAAAATAATTCATGTCTAAATATAAAAGCACTAAGTAAACAATACGCCATCATTTGATATAAAAATACCTATTCAGTTTAGTTAACTTAATGAAACCAACCCACTCAAAAACTTGTTTTGCCCAGCATGTAAGTGTAGTAGTGACGACGACATATAGATCTACACTCTATACATAATTTTCTTAATCACTTTTTACTAGGATGAGCCATCTTTAAATTCTTTATTTTAATATTTGTTTATTCCAAATATTCTGACACCATGAAGTTGTGGAAGTTTCGGGAGCAGTGTTATAAGCAAAGCCATGGTATTGAAAACAAAATGCCAAAATTCATACTTTGTGTAAAAACTTGCCAAACAGTATCTGAAACAAATATATTTCTAAATTAATAAGTGCAACAGCTTAAAATTTTGTTTAGAAAGTAATATTTAACTGGAGCAACCAAAATTAACTACCAAAATTTACTGAGATGAGATGCTAAATTATAATTATAGGAAAATTTATTAAATAAAAAATAAAACTTACAAAACTATGGGAACTGTCATGAAAAACTTCCTAGCTGCTGTAAATTGTGTCCCTGCATCCATTTGTTCCCAATGTGTCAAATATCTATATTTTCCTTGATCAGTTGTTTCAAAGGGAGTTCCTTTTATTGTATGAAGAAAGAAGTACATACCCTGAAAAAAGTCAAATTTAAGTAACATTACGAGGAGCAATTTATCAAACATAATTTAACAGAATTACATCAGCTGCCTCAATAAATCAAGCCATGAGCATCATGAATTGTGATAATAGGACAATGTCACCCAGAAAATGAAGTGCAGATTTGAGCATCATATAAAACGAAAGAATTGCTATACCCCTCAATGTTGCCTGATTCTATGGTTCACATGGCTATATTATTGAGCCATCTTTTCATATTTTCTGTCAACCTATATTAATATAAAACTCCTACAAACAATTGCACAACAGTGATCAGATGGTATAATAATAATGCATATGGTTGGAAACAATAGCTTTCTGAAACTGACTCAAGCAGTTCACAATACATTTTCATACAACTTGGAACTTAACATGCACGCATGCACACTATTCATTGTCTGCAACTTTAGCACATTTGCTCATGAATTCAAATTATTCATCCATTTACTTGTGTTTCAAAGCTCAATTTTATCCAACTTTTGTTCGAAACAATTTAGTAAGTAAATAAAAATAACAGCAGTATTGAGATCATGAGGCAAAAACGTTTCCAAACAATCTTATTAAGAGCAATTGTGGTGTCACATCTGACTGTCGTGGGCATTTGTTATATCTGAGTGTTAGGTCACAAGTTTACAATACACAAATACCGTAATCAGACTACATTAAATTGAAATTTTGAATTGCAATGATCATTAATGGGTAGACATCATGTACCACTCTTTTTAATCAGCAAAAATAAGTACCGGTATTTAAATGAGTTCTGACACAATACCACTAGTTTTGGGAGTTTTATTATAGCCATCTTGACTTGACCAGCAGAAACAAACGATCTTTATATAAACAACTGTAAAATATCGAAGAAAAACAGAGATAAGAGTAAGTTGGAAGTCATGATTCTGAATAACACAATTCATGTGTATTACTATATCACTAATATCAACACCACCAACAGGAAAGAAACAATTCCCTGAAGTGCCACATCAACAAAACAGATAATTCAATAATGACTCATTTTTCATCTTAAAACATTATCATGGTGAGTTTTTATCACCTCAAAACATTGTTGCAGCTTGGACAAGGCATTCAATGGTCAACGAGTTGCCTACAAAATCACAATGGAGATGAATTAATCATAATGTGAAGTCAAAGCAAAAGCTAATAAGTATTGTATGCACATGATAACAGGAACAAATAACTCACCACATCGTGGATGACATTTGTTAGTGTCCAAACAACAGATGTTGTAAACCATGGCATGCTCAAAAATATAAAATGAAGAAAAGCTACGATGATGACGTAAGTGAGCCAGATTCCTGGGCTGTTCCAGACCACTGCATTTGGGTTATCGGACCCATTTGCTGTTCCCGCAAGCATGCTAAACCAATATAAATTCAAACTTACAATATAGGCACTAATCTAGATAAAAACAAGACAAAATTTATGGATGTTGCCAAAAATCGATTCCTCCTCGTTTAAGCGTGGAAAATGGTACTGATAAAAATAGCTGTAAGCTACTAATTTCATTAACATGCTTAGGTACTTTAGAACTAATCTTATTTAGGTCTTTTGAATCCGGTCAAGCAGGTTAAGAATAGTCATGATTTGAAAAGATTAAACTAGATTTGTAGAATTAATATAATTATTTTGAACTCCGTCATGGTACAAAAATGACAACACACAAGACATAAATCAGTAAAGTTGTCAAAATTTCAAATGAGGTTTAAAACATGACGCATAAAAGTAATACATGTGCAATGTCACCGGGTGACAGAGAATATCAGTAAAACAACACAGGGACATACCATCCTCTCTAATCTTCCAGCATCAGAGCATACACGAATATACAAGAAAAAATACAAATAGATACGCTCTATTCAAGATTTGAGCTTGGTAGCATTGCGATGATTGTGTCTGTGTGTGCTGAGCCCAATGTGGGTATCATGCCATGACACGGGAGTAATGAAAATAAAAGAAACAACAGCTTTTTCTACCGTCGAGTCAATGCATCTGAAACAATAACAACTGGCCGACATAATCTGACTGATTTACCGTAGTAAGCGGACGAGAGGTCGCAGTACGCCACATGATTAATAAGCCATCTCATTTTCTTTCTTCTTCCCCAAGATGTGAAAATATGAAAATCCTATCACTGTATCATGCTAGTGGTTCATATACAATACACCACTCCAAAATGGGATCACTTGTAGTTTCGTACCTGACGAACTTCTAGTGGGTGTAGCATAACAATTTTTTCACATGTCAATCCTAATCCCCACCTGACTACACCATTCAAAAATTACGTCATTACGATGTCACAATCATGTTATAGAACTTATCAAAGTATAACTACGATCGCCCGAAGTGGCTTCTGCGCCGATGCTGTCTTTAACGTCACGATGGCGTTGAAGTGACGTAATTTTTGAATGACGCAGGCAGGTGAGGGTTATGATTAACAATACAAAAACTGTTGACCCAAAATTCGAAACATATTGCTGTAAGTTCCAAACATTTTTTGGGGCTAGTTCACTAAATGTCTCTATTGGGATATGCCATTTCTGCCATCCTGTTTCTATGCCATTTCTCTCTACCTGTATCATACATGTTTGTGTTATTTTCTATTTAACTGATTGGAGTATTTGGTTGTATTAAGATCTTTGTTAACAGTTAGACTTACATTAGGTTAAATGTGTTATGCTTCATTCACAAACATTGGATTTATACAAAGACACTCAAGTTGGTAATCTGTAAAGAATCTGCTCATCAGACTTCCCAACATGGCGCTGCGACTAACAGATGCTACCAGCTGGAGTACTTTTTTCAAATCTCTCGGCATCCCCGATGAGAGATCCGATGAATATGGAAATACATTTCGTGCTAATGAGCTCACTGAGACTGAATTACCACAGCTGGACAAAAATACTCTTAAAAGTGATTTGGGTATAACAATCTTAGCACATCAAATTAAAATATTGAATCATTCTCAGCAAAACATATCCAACTCTTCTCAGCCCACCAAACTAAATCTGCCCGTAAAGTTACCTGAATTCTCAACTAGAATGTCTAGTTCTGATTTTCGCACTGCTTTATCCGTGTGGACAACATTCAAGAACCTTCAACCACATGCAAGTGTTCATGCCAATGATTTACTTTACTCTGCATGTGATCAGGCAGTTCAAAAAATCATCAACAACACATGTTCAGAGTTCAGAGACTTAACCGAAAAGGAATTCCTATCTAAAATCAGGAACATTGTCACACTAGAATTAAATCCTCTTACGCACAGAACAAAATTCATGGACATGCAGCAACATACTGGGGAAACAGTCACACAATTTGTAGCCAGACTGCTTTCTGTGGCACACGACTGCGAATACATATGCCCAAGCGAAGCATGCAAGTTTGATCAAACCGACTGGCACGTTCGGGATCAGCTCATCAAGGGCATCTGCAACACAACCCTTCAGGCTGACATACTGTCCAAATGCGCAGACAAAAAGGCCCTTATTACCTTAGAGGAAGTTGTTAAGTATGCCACCGCTTACGAATCGGCTATTCGAAATCAAGAAACGATACACTGCCACACACAATCATATTCTGTATCACACTTCGCCACACAAAGACAACGTCAAAAGAGAAGCCCTAGCAAGAAGTCATCTTCAGGACGCATTGCATGTAGGGGATGTGGCAGTCTTAATCATGGATCCACAGAAATGGACAGGAAGAATCGATGCCCAGCATGGGGAAAAACTTGTTCTCACTGTCGAAAAGATAATCATTACAAGAAAGTATGCTTCTCCGCAAAAAGCAATGCAATACAGGCACAGTCCATGACATCATCCGAGTCCCAGTCAGACTCAGATTCTGTGGATGAAAAAGCCAATCTGAGCGTGATTTCACTTTATAACGTTGGAGATCCACACTCCTCATTAGCTGAAATCAAAATTCAGATCTCTCATACTTCGTCTACAGCAAACAGCATCTGCTCCAAACCTGTGACAGCACTACCGGACAGTGGATCATCAATAATGGTAAACAAACAAAACAACAACTATACTTTACTGAACCTGGGATAAAGCTACGCCATCTATATTTAAGCAAAGATGCATGTATAGCATTGGACATCCTACCGAAGAGTTTTCCACTGCCATCACCTAATGCCAGCTCAATAAACTCTCTTACGAGCACAAGGTCTCCCACAAAACCCTCAATCACAAATCAACGGGTTCAATCACTACCGACCAGACCTATGTCTATTCCTTTTCCTCCAACTGAGGACAACATAACTAGACTGAAACAGTACATTCTGGATAGTTTCAAGGCTTCCGCCTTTGACCGATCTCCACCATTCCCCACAATGCAGGGACCACCTGCACACATCTACCTCAAACCGAAGGCTATCCCATATGCACGCCACACACCGATTCCAATACCCATACATATGGAGAAACCAGCAAAGCAAAAACTACTGGACGATGTCGAAAAGGGCATAGTAAAGCCCGTACCTCCAGGCATGATCACACCATGGTGTTCACCCATGGTCACACTCTTGAAGAAAAATGGATCTATCCGGCGAACTATTGATTTACAGAAATTGAACGCCCAGTGCATACGAGAAGCTCACTATAATCCATCTCCATTCAAAGCTGCCTGCAAAATTCCTCCTAACACGAAAAAGTCTATTTTGGACATCACTGATGGCTATCATAGCGTCCCACTAGATGAGGAAAGTCAACCACTGACAACGTTCATCACACCATGGGGAAGATTTATGAACACACGCCTTATTCAAGGTTTTAAATCTGCAGGAGATATTTTCAATCGCAACCTCGATCTCATTCTAGAAGAGTCAAACATTGAAAAAGTACAGCATGTAGTGGATGACCTATGCCTATATGAGAGTGACATTCAATCATCCTTCTATCAAGTTTGGGATTTTCTCACACTGAGCGTTCAAAAGGGGATAGTATTCAATCCTGATAAATTCAAATTCTGTCAGGATACCATCATATTTGCTGGCCTTAAAATAACCCCTGCTGGGATTGCACCTGCCCCAGCGCTTCTTGACTCCATCAAAAACTTTCCACCTCCGACAAACATTCACGACGCTCGAAGTTGGCACGGCTTGGTAAATCAAATATCATGGGCTTACGCCATCTCCCCCATTATGCTCCCATTTCGCGACCTAATAAAAAAGGGATCCAAATTCATATGGGACGACACTCTTCAATCTATATTTGAGAAATCGAAAGCGAAACTTATCACCCTATGTGAAGAAGGGATCAAATCATTTGACCTTCATCGACCATCTTTGATTCAATGCGACTGGAGCAAGGACGGCATTGGCTATCTACTTCTACAGAAATATTGTACCTGCGGTACAAATGAAGCCCCAAATTGTTGCCCTGATGGTTGGCATCTCGTATACGCCGGCTCTCGGCACACTTCACAAGCTGAAAGAAACTATGCACCCATCGAAGGCGAAGCGCTTGCGGTTGCTTGGAGCTTAGACCATGCCAAGTCTTTCATCCTCGGGTGTAAAGATCTCATTGTAGTAACCGATCACAAACCCCTCATCCCATTGTTCAGCAACCGACAACTATCTGACATCAGCAACCCACGCGTGCTGAGATTCAGATCAAAAGTTTCTCAATACGATTTCTCCATACACCACTGTTGTGGAAAATGGCACAGAGGGCCAGATGCGCTTTCAAGGAATCCAGTACTTTCTGCCTCTAATCCAACTGATGAAGACCTCTTTGCTGCTGAACTAGAGGACGACACCACTTGGTCTCTCATGCACGAGACAATACAAGCCTTAAATTGTTACATTGAAGACGAGAATGGACCTCTTACGGATCGGGCAATAACTATCGATAGGCTTCAAAACGCTTGTCAAGCTGACAAATCACATAAGCTGTTACATGAAACTATTTCTTCTGGATTCCCTCCCACAAGAAGTGCCACTTCACCGGAGGTTCGCTCCTATTGGGAACTACGTAACAGACTATCTTGTTTCGACAACAAGATCATTGTTTTAGATAACAAAAGATTCGTTATCCCTCGACAGCTCAGATCATCTGTGCTCCATACACTACACAGTGCCCACCAGGGCTGCACAAATATGGTCGCTAGGGCAAAAGATTGTGTGTACTGGCCGGGAATGAACAAATGCATTCTCAACTTCAAATCTTCTTGCTCCACTTGCTCCTATATTGCACCATCTCAAGTTCAAGAAACTATCATACCAACACCTCCACCCCAATGGCCTTTTCAACAAATCTGTGCTGACCTATTTTATCTAAATGGTAACGATTACTTAGCAATCACAGACAGATTCAGTGGATGGATTGAAATTGCCCACTTTCACCGATCACCTTCCACAAACCGCATAATTCCTGTTTTCGAACAACTTTTCACGCGCTTTG